CAAACCCCAAACAAAGAAGAGGAATCTGCAGATCTCTCTGTAACTCTGGCTGGGTGGCCTCAGGGAGAGGCCAAATTAGCACCTCCTTAGAGATCCAAGAGCCAGTGTACCCAGCGGTCAGAGTGGGACCATCCAGATTGCAACTCCTCAGATCCATAAGGGACACACTCAGGGGCAGACTCAGTGAGCACCAAAGCCCCACTTAAGCCAGACTTGTCCCAGAAGGGTGTCTCCAGCACAGAAGTTCTCCCACTGCAGACACTGCTGATTCTCACAGCCAGTTGGCCTGGAGGTCAATTCCTCCCAGTGATACCTACAACAATCAAGGCTTAACTACAACAAGACTGTGCACAAAGCCCACAAGGGGGTGCACCAAGAGTGTCCACCTCAGGTAATTGGGGAGGCGGGGCCACTGGGCCCTATAGGACACTTAGCACAGAAAGCCACTCTATCAACACAGGGAAGCATAAAAAATGCGGAGACAAAGAAACAGGTCACAAATGACAGAAATGGAGGAAAGCAAACTACAGGATATAGAGTTCAAAACCACACTTCTAAGGTTTTTCAAGAATTTTCTAGAAACCGCCGATAAATTTAGTGAGACCCTTAAGAAATCTAGTGAGACCCCTCAAGGTTATGAAAAAGGACCAACTAGAAATTAAGCATACACTGACTGAAATAAAGAATATTATACAGAGATCTAACAGCAGACTAGAGGATCGCCAGAATCAAGTCAAAGATTTGAAATACGAAGAAGAAAAAAACACCCAACCGGAAAAACAAAAAGAAAATGAATCCAAAAATATGAAGATAGTGTAAGGAGCCTCTGGGACAACTTCAAGCGTACCAACATCCGAATTATGCGGGTGCCAGAAGAAGAGAGAGGGCAAGATATTGAAAACGTATTTGAAGAAATAATGACAGAAAACTTCCCCTACCTAGTGAAAGAAATAGACTTCCAAGTCCAGGAAGCCCAGAGAACCCCAAACAAAAGGAATCCAAAGAGGACCACACCAAGACACATCATAATTAAAATGCCAGGAGCAAAAGACAAAGAGAGAATCTTAAAAGCAGCAAGAGAAAGACAGTCAGTTACTACAAGGGAGTACCCATACGACTGTCAGCTGATTTTTCAATAGAAACTATGCAGGCCAGAGGGGAGTGGCAAGAAATATTCAAAGTGATGAATACCAAGAACCTACAACCAGATTACTTTACTCAGCAAAGCTATCATTCAGAATTGAAGGTCATATAAAGAGCTCCACAGATAAGAAAAAACTAAAGGAGTTCATCACCACCAAACCAGTATTATATGAAATGCTGAAAGGTATCCTTTAAGAAGAGGAAGAAGAAAAAGGTAAAGATACAAATTATGAACAACAAATACACATCTATCAACAAGTGAATCTAAAAATCAAGTGAATAAAAAATCTGATGAACAGAATAAACTGGTGAATATAATAGAATCAGGGGCATAGGAAGGGAGTGGACTGAGTATTTTCAGGGGGGCAAGGGATGTGGGGGGTGCGGGAAGAGACTGGACAAAAACCGTACACCAATGGATGAGGATAGTGGGGGTTTGGGGGTTGGTAAGGGCAGAGGGTGGGGTGGAAACTGGGTGGTGTGGGGAGCTATCGGTGAAAAAAAAGGAACAACTGTAATAATCTGAACAATAAAGATTTAATTAAAAAAAAATAGAACTATAGCCAACAGTGGTCTAAATTGGATTATGTCTTTTAGTTGGATAACATCTAGAATTTCTGGTTCCCATGCAGATATAAAGCCCTCTTTGGTCTATACTAAGCCTGAAAGTTGTTCTTGACTTATTATACAAGCAAGAGGCTGGCTGTTAATGGCCTTCCATCATAAAAACTCAATGGACAGGAGAAGTAATAGAATTTAAAATTTAAAGTGCAGGTTGAAATCTATAGAAAAGAAAAATGAACATTGATGACTACCTACTTTGTTATACAAATTGTGCTAGGTGCTTTTTTTAAGGTTTATCTCACTTAATGTTCAGAGTCACTTTTTGTGTAGTTTAATATCCTACTTTTAAAGAGTGTTATTATCTACAGGTAGAGTAAAAACAATAGATGAATCAAAATCTGTGAGGAAAATGATGAGCTGAGTTTTGAATATGTTAAGAAATTTGTGGAATTTTCTGGGGAGTAATCCAGGAGACACTTCAGCTCAGGAAAGTGATCTGGGCCTAAAGTTTTAACTTACTTAAATTTCCAGGGTGGTTGGACTTGCAGAATATGCCAAAATCTGTTTATTTACAAATACAGCAGTTTATTTAAAGGATGCTGACTAAGGGGAGCTATAGTAGAAGGGATGATTCAGTCTAATATTTGAAAGTTACTGTCTACATTTGCTGCCTTTTCTTCTCAGAAACTAAGCTTCCTTGCATATTCCCTCCCTGCCCGCATCACACATTTTATTCATTTTTATGGGTAGCAGCTTACAGTTTTTTTTAGGCATGCCATAGTCTATCATCAGCTGGTGTGTATAATTTAACTCAATTAATTAATTTGATATTTACTTGAAGGTTTATGCTTGATTGAAGTCTTCACATACAGTTAGTACTATTGTAATAGTTTATCACAAAAAGAAATAGTTCATTAATCAGGACTATGGTACTGGCATAAGGATAGGCATATATAGATCAATGGAGTAGAATTGAGAATACTGAAATAAACTTTTACATTTACAGTAAATTGATTTTCAACAAGGGTGCCAAAGCAACTTTTATCAACAGGAAAAAAATATCTTTAACAAATGGTATTGGGACAACTGAACTGGTGGATATCTTCATGCAAAGGAATAAAGTTGGGCCTGTACCTTACACTATATAATATTAATTCAAAATGGATCAAAGAACTAAATGTAAGAGCTAACATATTAAAACTGCGAGTAGACAAAAAAAAAAAGTGTAAATCTTTATGACCTTGGAGTAAGCAGTAGTTTCTTAGGGACAACATCAAAAGCACAAGTATCCACATAAAAATAGACATACTGGATTTCATTAAACTTAAATATGTTTTTGCTTCAAAGGACATCACCAAGAAAGTGAAAAGAAACTCATAGAATTGAAGGAAGTAATTTCAAATCATATTTGATAAGGGAGTTGTATTCAGAATATATAAAAGACTCTTAAAACTCAATAATAAAAAGACAATTCAAAAATGAGCAATTGACTTGAAAAGACATTTCTCTGGAGAAGAAACACAAATGGCCAGTAAGCACATGGAAAGATGCTGAATATCATTGATCATTAAGGAAATGCAAATCAAAACCACAATGAGATGCCCCTTCACGAAACCCATTAGGATGGCTAAAATAATAAAAACAGATAATAATAACAAGTATTGGTGAGGAAGTATGTGGTGAAAGTAAAACCCCCAACATTGTTGGTGGGATTGTAAAATGGTAAAGCCACTTGGTAAAACAGTTTGGCAGCCTCAAAAAGTTAAACATTTGAATTACCATATAACCCAGTAATTTCATACCTAGGTACATACCCAAAAGAAATAAAAGCCTTTGTGCCCACAAAATTTATTCATAGTAACATTATTTATAATAGTCAATAAGTAGAAATGATCCAGATGCCTTTCATTTGATAAATGGATAATAAAATGTATTCAGTAATAAAAATGAAGTACTGATAAAAGATAACAACATGGATGAACCTTGAATAACTGCTAAGATCATACAATCACAAAAAACATATATAGTATGATCCCATTTATATGACTCCAGAAGAGGCAAATCTATGGGAGCACGGCAAGAATGGGGGAGGGGTGACTGCTAAAGGATACAAGGTTTTTTGTGTTTTTTTAATGAAAATATTCTAAAACTGATTTTGATGATGGTTGCATATCTCTGTAAATATGCTAAACACTATTGAATCATACACTTAGAATGGGTAAATTGTATAGCATGTAAATTATGTCTTAAAGCTGTTATAATACCAAAAAAAATATATGAGAGTAATGGTTCTACTGTGATATATTGACTAATCACAAACTAGACTATGTACAGGTAGGCAAAACAATATACTGTACTGTTTTAAACACGAGGTACCATTTCCCTATATTTAAAGATTAACTAGATACTAAATATACATGTATTGTTTATAACCTTACTGAAAAATTACACATCATTGCATGTTTCAGAATTCATTAGAAACAAATCCAAATGATCCAGTTTTTAATATGTAGTTATCAATTGAAGCCATGGAAATATATATGATATCTTAGAAAGGGTTTGTAGAGTGAGAAATGAATAGGCCTCTAGGGCTATAGGCAGAACATAGAGAAGAACAACATGCATGTATGAAGGAAGAAGGCCAAAGAGGATGGTATGGAAGTCATGGAGGTGAGAATGAATGGTTAATAGTGTTTCCTGGTAAAGATGCCGCATGAGGATAGTGTTCAATGAATAGAAGGTTGCTGATGATCTTGGGAAGAGCAATCAATGTCAATGGAATTTTGGATTGAAGTGGACTAAATGAATGGAAGTAAAGACAGGGTAGACTACTCTTTCAATCATTTTGGCTAAGGAGGACAATAGAAGAAAATTTAGGTTGAGGAAAGGCTTCAAAAAAATAAGATAAAAGAGAATTGAGGTTACTTATGATGAATAGAAATAGAGGTTGAAAATGGGAGAAGGAACACAAGAAGCAAGACCCCAGAGAAGGTGAGAGCAAAGATTGCCATCTCTTGCACTGCCTTTGTGATAGAATGGAAGAAGACGGGATGTTTGAGGCTGCAGGTGATTGGGGAGATTTGGAAAAATGATAGGAAGTTGAGGGATTTGCTACTATCTGATGCTTTCTGTTTTCTTAATAAATAGGAAGCTTGAGAGCCGCAGCCTTTGATACAAAATCTAGGGAAGCCTGGAAAGATTTCCGAACAGTATTACTTGACATTAGAGACCTAGAATCAGATAATACCTATAATAGAGGTTATCTTTCTTCTTTTTTTTTTCCCCTCTTGCAGCATTTAGCAGCCCCGGTTTTGAAATGAGAATTGAAGTGACCCAAGGTTAGCTATTGCTAGGGCAATACGATAGAAGCACAGGAGGCAGAAGTGTTGAAGCATGAGGACTATGTAAGAAGGAAACAAAAACAAGAAGGGTTGATAAATTGAGAGAAAATCAAGGAGGTAAAGTATTAAAGTAATCTTTGTAGACTGAAGTCAATCTGTGGAATGGCTAATTATTGGGAAATTGTTTACGCCGTAATTGGATCTAGGGAGAGGTTTTGTTTTTTTTTTAATTTCTTTATTGGTTAAGGTATTACAAATGTATCCTCATCCCCCCATTAACCCCCAACCTCCCCCCCACCCCCCCAGCCCCGCACTCATACTCTCATCCCCCTGTTGTCCGTGTCCTCTAGGGAGAGTTTTGCTGTTAGAGTCAGATTCCTAAAATTAGAGAACGCTGATACATATTGTTTAAGGGAAAATCTACCCATTTCATATTAAAATGTTCAACATTTCAAAGTTTTTGAATGAAATGTAAAGCATTCAAAATTTATCCTAGTTAGACTGATCAGCCTCTTGAACTGGGTTGTTTGAAGGAGTTGTTGAAGACACCAGGGATGTTGTCAGGACTTGGTTTGGAGAGGAAGATGGAGCCAGCTGCCTGAGTCTTCAGTGAGTATAAGGGAGATGGTGACAGAAATGAGAATGACACAAGGTGATCTGGTTAGATGGCGATGGTGTTGAGGTGGTACAGAGATCAGTGAGATGTTGACCCTGACACATGCAGAATATGGGAGCATCGTTAACAATGGTGATGAAGATAGCTAATGTTTATTGAGGGCTTTCCATGCCAGGCACTGCCCCTTTTGTAAACACTTAGCATGAACTTGATTCATTTGTCTCAGTAACCCTCTGAGGCATTATCTTTATTTTGTAAATAAAGAAGGTGAGGTAGAGGGACCACTAACTATCATAAAGTTTTCATGTAGGGAAACCAGGGTTTAAAACTAGACTGCTGACTCCAGAGCAGATGTTCTAATTATAATGCTGTGCCATCAACAGTACACTAAAGTAATTTGTCCAATATATATGTATTTGATATGTCTGTGATAGTTTACATCATTTATAAGTACCTTAGAGGAAAATTGTTCATTAGGATTTTTTGATGCTTTCTAATTTGATGGTGACTGTATTATTACATATTTTATGTAAGTGTCAGCCTTAGAGTGGTGATTCTTCAAAGTGTGATTCCTGGACAAGAGACATCACTATCAATATCATCTGGGATCTCGTTTAAAACAAATTCTTTTTTTTTTTTTTAAATATATTTTATTGATTTTTTACAGAGAGGAAGGGAGAGGGATAGAGAGTTAGAAACATCGATGAGAGAGAAACACTGATCAGCTGCCTCCTGCACACATCCCACTGGGGATGTGCCCGCAACCAAGGTACATGCCCTTGACTGGAATCGAACCTGGGACCTTTGAGTCCGCAGGCCGACGCTCTATCCACTGAGCCAAACCGGTTAGGGCTAAAACAAATTCTTAATCTTCACCCCAGATCTGCTACTTGAGAGACTCTGGGAATGAAGCCCAGCAGATTATGGTTTGTTTTTGTTTGTTTGTTTGTTTATTTGTTTGTTTTAAATATATTTTTTATTGATTAAGATATTACATATGTGTCCTTATCCCCACGTTACCCTCTACCCCCCCCTCCCACCCCCCCCCCCCCGCTCATGCCCTCACCCCCCCGTTGTCCGTGTCCATTGGTTAGGCCTATATGCTTGCATATAAGTCCTTTGGTTGATCTTTCCCCCTTACCCCCACCCTCCCCTACCTTCCCTCCAAGGCCCGACAGTCCAATCAATGCCTCTCCGTCTCTGGATCAGTCCTTGTTCATCAGTTTATGTTGTTCATTATATTCCACAAATGAGTGAGATCATGTGGTATTTATCTGCTCTCCAGTTCCATCCATGCTGTGACAAATGGTAAGAGTTCCTTTTTCTTCTTCCTCTTCTTAAAGAATATCTTTCAGCATTTCATATAATGCTGGTTTGGTGGTGATGAACTCCTTTAGCTTTTTCTTATCTGTGAAGCTCTTTATCTGACCTTCTATTCTGAATTATAGCTTTGCTGAATAAAGTAATCTTGGTTGTAGGTTCTTGGCATTCATCACTTTGAATATTTCTTGCCACTCTCTTCTGGCTTGCATGGTTTCTGTTGAGAAATCAGCTGACAGTCGTATGGGTACTCCCTTGTAGGTAACTGACTGTCTTTCTCTTGCTGCTTTTAAGATTCTCTCTTTGTCTTTTGCTCTTGGCATTTTAATTATGATGTGTCTTGGTGTGGTCCTCTTTGGGTTCCTTTTGTTTGGGGTTCTCTGGGCTTCCTGGACTTGTAAGTCTATTTCTTTGACCAGGTAGGGGAAGTTTTCTGTCATTATTTCTTCAAATAGGTTTTCAATATCTTGCCCTCTCTCTTCTTCTGGTACCCCTATAATTCTGATGTTGGTACGCTTGAAGTTGTCCCAGAGGCTCCTTACACTATCTTCATATTTTTGGAATCTTTTTTCTTTTTTTCGATTGGGTCTTTTTTGTTTCTTCGTATTTCAAATCTTTGACTTGATTCTTGGGATCCTCTTGTCTGCTGTTGGATCTCTGTATATTATTCTTTATTTCAGTCAGTGTATGCTTAATTTCTAGTTGGTCCTTTTTCATATCCTCGAGAGTCTCACTAGATTCCTTGAGGGTCTCACTAAATTTATCGGCGGTTTCCATAAAATTCTTGAAAAACCTTATAAACGTGGCCTTGAACTCTATATCCTGTAGTTTGCTTTCCTCCATTTCTGTCATTTGTGACCTGTTTCTTTGTCTCCGCATTTTTTATGCTTCCCTGTGTTGGTAGAGTGGTTTGTGTGCTAGGTGTCCTGTAGGGCCCAGTGGCTCAGCCTCCCCAGTTACCTGAGGTGGACACTCTTGGTGCACCCCCTTGTGGGCTTTTTGCACAGTCTTATTGTAGTTATGCCTTGATTGTTGTAGGATCACTGGGAGGAATTGACCTCCAGGCCAATTGGCAGTGAGAATCAGCAGTGTCTGCAGTGGGAGAACTTCTGTGCTGAAGACACCCTTCTGGGGCAAGACTTGCTTCAGTGGGGTTTTGGTGCTCACTGAGTCTGCACCCTGAGTGTGTCCCTTATGGATCTGAGGAGTTGTAATCTGGATGGTCCCCCTCTGACCACTGGGTACACTGGCTCTTGGATCTAAGGAGGTGCTAATTTAGCCTCTGCCTGAGGTTACACAGCAGGAGCTACGAAGAGAACTGCAGATTCCCCTTCCTTTTTTGGAGTTTGGAGGTACCCTGATGAGGCCCAGCTGTGAAGCAATGCAAGCCTCTGTGGGGCCTTGGGCCTTCTCTTGGAAGTTCTGGGTCTGTCTGGCCCAGCTGCAGTTAGGTAATTTTCAGGTTGCAAAGGGCCGGGGCATTCATATGCAAAAGCCTCTGTTGCAGCCTGGGTGGGGCGGGGTCTCAGGAAATCAAAGGGCGGAGCAGGCCGCTATGGCGGATTCTCAGCCCTGCCCTAAGGGGCCGCGAGTCTCAGTGTCCCGGTAATTGCCGCAAGCACCTCTGACGGAAAGCTGACCTCAAGTTCCGAGTTCTGCCCGCTGCCGGACAGTCCAGTTTCTCCCTGTATGAGTCCTGGGTCCCCAGAGACTTCCTGGAACCAGAGTTCAGAGCAGTCGGGAGCTTGTGACTCCCTCCCGATTCAAAAAGACAGCCGCGTCCTCAGGTGCCAGCCCCTTTCTGCGCACACGAGCCTCCGTACCTCTGCACTTTACTTCCGCAGCTCCTTTGGCTCTCAGTGTGCTTTTCTTTCCTTCTAGCTGTAGAATTTCCACTCAGCCAGGCTTCCTGTAGTTCTGGATGATGTCCGTTTTGTCTTTATGTTGTTTTTTTGAAGTTGTTGTGGGAGGCAGCAATTTCCCGGTGTTTATCTATGCCACCATCTTAGTTTCTCCCCAGCAGATTGTGTTTTAACAAGCCAGGTTATTCTGATGCAGGTGAAAGTTTGACAACCACTAACCCAAGTAAAGTAGTGTGAGAAGGTGAGTGAGAATTTGAATTAGACACTGGAGTGTTATTGGGATTGTCAGTATTTTTTGAATCCTGATGTGTGAATTGAAATCTGATGGGGAATTAGTAGCATTAGTTTATCCTTTGCATGGTAGCAGTTTAGTATGTTGATGCTACATGCGGGCACGCACGTACAGTGCAATTGAAACTTTGTGGCCCATGCTCAGAAGTCGGTATTTTGTGAAAGAGCCACACTCAAGGGGCCAAAGAGCCACATGTGGCTCACAAGCCGCAGTTTGTCGACCACTGGTCTAGGAGATCCGTCTGCCACCAGAACTACGATTCCCAGCATTCTTGGTGCTCCCTGCGCTCTGGGCTTCCGCTTCCGGTCCTGGCGCTGCCATCGGAACTACTATTCCCAGAATTCCTGGTGCTCCCCACACTGGGAGTGGCCGAGGGAGCCATGGCCCCCCCAAGCCCCCAGCTCTCCTACTCTGCTCTCCACCCGGCGACTGAGGAAGCCACGTCCCCGAAGCTGCCGGCTCTCTCCTGCGCCCCCCCCACCCCCGCGCCTCTGTATGCAAATTAACCCGCCATCTTTGGCAGGGTAATTTGTATATTCACTCCTGATTGGCTGGTTAGCGTAGCAAGGGGATGGTCAATTTACATGTTTCTTTTATTATATTCTGAGTGGCCAGATTATTATGACCACCTGACGTTTGTAGGGAAATTAGCTATAATTTCACACTGAAGTTGCTAGAGGGCCAGACCATTATAAATAGGGAAGCAGGTTGCTTGCCACGACAGTAGAAGTGATTTTTTCCTGAAGATATGGGTAAACAACACGATTTAACAGCCTTTGAACATGGGATGATTGTTGGCGCTTGGAGCCATGGAGCAAGTATCAGCAAAACAGCTGAATTCGTTAAATGTTGAAGAGTAGCTGTTGTTCAAGTGTTTAAAGACTAGACTGTCAGCCAAAAATCTGGGTCTGAACATGCGAATTGTGGCCGCCAGCGACTAGTCAATGTTAGGGCAGAATGGAGAGCGGCAACACTGGTACAAAACAACAGAAGGGCAACAGTGCATCATTACTGCAGATCTTAATCAGGGATCCTCTCAAATGATCTCTGAATGCACTATTTGCCGTACACTGCATCGTATGGGATATGGTAGCTGAAGGCTTGTTCGAACACCTTTGCTGTCTGCAGTTACCAAGATAAAACGTCTCCAATTCGCACAGGAACACAAGGATTGGACAGTCGAGCATTGGGAAAAAGTCATGTGGTCCGATGAATCACGTTTCCAGTTGCATCATGCAGATGGCAGAGTGAGAATTTGGCGGAAACAGCATGAAAGCATGCACCCCACATGCATGAGTACAACCCTTCAAACTGGTGGGGGCAGTGTTATGGTTTGGGGCATGTTTTCCTGGCATGATTTGGGCCCTTTAATTCGTGTGGAGCAACGTCTGAATAGCACAACGTACCTAAGTATTGTTGCTGATCAAGTTCATCCTATCATGTTGATGGCATATCCCAATGGAGATGGCTTCTTCCAACAAGACAACACGCCATGCCACGGTGCTCATATTGTGCAGGA